TCAATCAGATGGCTGACAACTAATCTGGATCCATGCCATACTAGACATTGCATCAAGCAGTAGGTCGTTTCTTCCCTCTCTCTCTGCATTCTTGTGTTACAGTCCCTTCTTCTCTCTCACTTGCCAGGTCTGTAGCACAAGCCATCATTTCTGTATAAGGTCAAACGTTGCATGAGCTTCAGATATGTTCAGAGCTGCTCCCTCATGTTATTTGACTTATCTTCCCTTCTCTCATAATAGCAAGGCCAAGAGCATCTGTCAGACACAGTCAATCTCACAAACTTCATTCCCTATCGTTTCCCATTATTATTCAAACAAACTGATGCAAGTTCAAGACATTACTGTCCCAGAGGAGTTTATCTAAGGATTAAAGCAAGTGCTTATTTTCTTCAAAGCTTAGAAAAATCTGTAATATTGAAGTGACCTGCCACCTTAAAGATGTTTAATCTATTTGAAAAACCTATTTGTTTTTCCATGTAGTTGAATTTTCCTTATTTAAGATGCAGGTCAAGAGAAGTTTAGTAATGAAGCAGAACATTTGAAGTTACTCTAGCTGCTAATAATTCCACTATATTCAGTCTGTCAAAGAATGCTCCGGTTCTTAGATCATAAGAAAATCCTTTGAATAAACCAACTGTTCCCTCTCCTCCCATTGCACAATTTAGATAGGTAGTCTGTCTTTTATATGATTTACAAATAAGGTTTGTTTATGTTGTTCTAAAGAACTTAAACTTATCACAAGTAATAAAGCACTTTATTACTTCTTTAAGGTTTTGTTTACTCATTTAACGTACTAAAGAGCTTCACAGTGCTTTGTGGAATAATAGAGATCTGCAACGATCACACATAATTTAAGACCTGCTTCCAAACATTACAGCCCCTTCCTTTTCCCCCTGCACGCTCAAGCCAGCATTTCAAGATCTAGGAAGCATATTTATTATCTAGCATTCTTAATATGTGATGTGACAAGGAACACAAGACAGAACAGCAGATTTGTCAAGTTACCATTTCCTTCATCTCTTCTCCCTAGGCAAAGTCAGAAGACCCAAGTCTTGTTGCACAAACAGAGGAGACTCAGAAGTCAGTTCTTACGTGTGGCCTAAACATACTCTTGTCCAGAACTTCACCTTTAAATATGTAGAAAGGTATTTATACCTCCAGGCCTTGAAGACTTTACCATTAATTATCTCTCAAACTACTATGCAGTACAGTCTAATACCAGGCAGTTTTGAGAAGAATTTGAAGCAAATGTCTTCTTCCCAGTAAAAAGGCTATTGCTTATTCACTAGTTTTTTCAAAGCACTGTAGAAGTCAGTAGTTATACTTTTTTTTAATCAGGATGAACCTGGTAGACAAATTTTATACCACCACACTCAAGAGAAAGAAGACAGTGTTCATTAATTTTACATAACTACAGATCGACACTGGAGCATCATCTCTACTACTAGAAAATACTTTTAACTGCCATGCACACAGCCCATATTCAGCAAAGTGACAAATCATGAATAGTTAAAGTGATTCAGGCTCATTTAGCGCTACACATTAAGTTACTGCTTTTTTTTTTTATGTTATCTATAGATTCTACTGAGAATGTATAACTATGAACTGAGCAGACTTAAATATTCAAATATAAGCTTACTAAAAACCATATAAGCTTCTGGTGCAACACAAGAGGCAACTACTCACTAGATACTCCTTTCCCCTTCATTATGTGAAAAGTAAAGTGCCAATGAGTTTTTAAACTAAGCCTCTGTTTTAGACTTCAGACTTAGTTTGAAGTTCTCTAAGACTTCATAGTTTATCTACCATCAAAGTTCAAGATCATACTTCTCCAACAGCATGCATCACGCAAGGAACAGGCTCTTCAACTGAAGGCACCGGGCAAGAGAAGCAATCTGAGTTCTATGTATTTAATTTTCACCAAGTGGCTCAAATCATACGCACACTGAATTTGCACATATGCCACAGGAACTTCAGAGGAAGAGACCAGATATTTTCTGTTGGATGACAGAAAGATTAAGAGGGACAAACTGTTCTAACATTCTACCCCAACATAGTATCTTACTATTACTAAAGGAAACAGTTTATTCACCCATGCCCACACAAATCCAAATGCACGGATCTTAACTCAGGTAAGACTCAATTTACACAAGTATTGGCTAGAATTCTAATGAGGTAAGACTAAATATTAAACTGTATTTCAAGTCAATCAAGAATCAGTCTTTGTAGAGGAAAGATTTTGCCCTCAGACAGCTGATGAGTCTACTCTGGACTCTGAGCTACCCAGGGCTTTAATTTTTGCTGACAAAAAGGCAGGGAGCTCTTTGATTAGACATTGAAGCAATCTCATGATTCTTCAAAGCACAACTGAGAAAGATCTGTGGCTGCCACTCCTTGCAATCCCATCCTTCTTTCCTTCCCAGCATTCCCAATCTTTGATAGGAAGAATTCATGAAGTATTACCAGCAGACAGCCAAAAAAAAAGCCAGTTTCAACTTACTAGTCAAACAGATTCAGACATCACCTCTCAGTATAAACATTAGAATAAAGCAGTATTCATGCTCCTGAGGTGCAGACAACGTACCCTCTTTGTTCTGTTGATGTTTAGGTAGCAAAGAAACATGCATAGTAGTGCTGTGGAACTGGGATTTGAGAAGGAACAATGGGTAAGGATATCAAAGAAAGTCCTATGAAGCTTTAAAAATATGTATAACAGCTGACTTCAAACACAGTATAACAGATACCAGTTACGATAGTTTAATGGATAGTTTTATTAGAAGTTCCCTAGCTTTTGCAGACAGAAGCATCACTGAAAATTCATTTTTAGATCCAAGACCCCCAATTAGGGATGAAGTTTATTTCTAGTAACAGAAGTCTTCAAATAATCTCATTTAGTAGTTTAACAGATAATCTGTTACACAACATGTTAAGTATATGTGTGGGCTAGTGACCCTCATCTATTAAAGCACATAAGACGTTACTCCCCCAAGAACCTGTTCTGAGAAGAAGCATTTCTACTTTAAAATTAGTGCTTTATATAGTAAGTTCAAGAGACTCAGAGGCTGAGTAAGTCAGGTGGTCCATTTCAGAGCTATACTGAAGTGTGGGAACATGTGCAGAGGAAGGCTAAAATGCAATGTTTAAAATCCAAATTGATTCTAGTGAAGATACATTCAGTTCAGAGACTGAGCAGCAGGAGCCTTTAGTTCAATTTTCATCCATCAATACAGGAACTATGCAGTTAAATCCAATAATGATGTCACACAAAACATTAAAAAACCCAAACTTTAAACTACTTACTTTCCCCTCCATGAATGTTTTGTTGTGTAGAAACAAGCAAGATCTCTGTTTTCTCTAATTATATTCATTCTGTGCCAAGACCTGAAAACAAAAGAGACATCCTGTTAGTACTCATGATTTTCATTTAAAAACCAAAGTTCACTAATCATCAATATGCTTCAAGACAAAAAGACTTTGTTTTTAAACACTCAAGTCACTGCTTTGTCAGTTCCACACGAAAAATATTAGGAATACTCATGTTTATCAAACAATGCATGGACTAAGTTGCACATAGAGTTGAACATGAATTATTAGTTTCCCCAGTGATTTTGTTACACTAGTTACTCTTTAACAGTACCAGGTTACAGTAATTTATGCTCCATTATTTGCAATATTATTGCAATTACACTACTTTTGCTGCACCTTTGCACATTCAGATTCAAGTGTATTTTCCTGTCATCTCCAGAATGCTTAACTCCTGCAAATTGTGTAATATCAAAATGATTTGAGTACCCTGCATCCATAACTCCAGCTAAGCCAGATTCCTACTGTGATTTTTAAATAAAAAGCAAGGAGAATTCTGGATAGATAGAACAGCTTATTTTTCCAGCCTGAAATGGAATTTGAAGTTGAGAAACTTACTTATTAGCCAAGCATTGTGATTAAAGAGCTAAGTACCCTTTCTGTGCTGTAGAAGTTTAAGCAATCCCACCACTAACATCCTGACATGCTTATTTCACACATAAATACCTATTCCCTAAACACATGCAGGAATTTAGTGAAACTTGCCCACAACTGCTTGACTGGATCATTGCTTTAAGAGCTGCTAAGTTCTAAGGAATGCTTCTGAACACTAAACACCCATCTTCCATGATTAACACGGATGTGTGATGAGTACTTGGGAAATTAACTTCCCTTTTACTCTACTGTTATTACATATACAAGGCACATAAGTGGATGTACCCCGATTAAGTTGCAAGAGTGAAGTTGCCACTCAGTTTACTGCTACAGCATTAGTTTTATTTTCAAATGTGTCAAAACAGGCTTCCCTGCTCTTGATTACAGACTGGTACTCTCTCAGGTTCACATCATTAATGTGGTGGCATCCCCAAAACATCACACACTTAAGCTAGTCTGCAAGAATTCATATTCATAGCTTGCCTGAAACAATGCTAAAGAAATCCAATCCCAGTCAGTACCCCACTAAAAGTTAGACTACAACCCCGGTTATCTTTTTACATTCAGCTAACTCTACTTAATTTGGCAAAAAAAGATTTCTCATTTTGAGATTGATGATCTGTAACACTAGCTCATTGCTAATTTCTACCCTCTACAACTTCAGGCTATTTTCTTTCTGAGCAGAGACTGTAACAGTTATGTAGCCATGAACATGAAGAATGGATAGCCTGACTGAAATGAACTTGAGAATTCCTTCCCTCAGGTGAAGAGCCAGCACAATCATCACTACCCACTAAAGAGAACTTGTGGTACTGCCTCTGGAAAAAGACAAAAAAAACAGTATTTACGTATTTCAATGACTCAATCTTTGAGTCAAGCTTTCAGAGTTAATATCCCATTGACTTGTGGCAAGTTAAATTCTCTAAATCCAGTCTTTAGAAGCTCAGTTTCATGAGAGAGAAGATATTCAACAGCATTATTCCTGAAGTTCTCCATTTTGCCCAGTTTAAGAACTATGTTGTATTATTATTGCCGTGGATAAGCATCAAAACAGTACACTCTGTCCAAACTACACAAATCTTACTGTATAGTAGCACCACTTTAGATCTGATAATTTTGTGTTTTAAAGTTATCTTTCAGAACAAAGTGCCAGATACTCAATCTTCATACCTCCCTTTTTAAGCTGTTTTCTTGACAGTGACCAATGTATTAGTAAAAATAAAAGGCTTGTAACAAGACTAGCTCCAGTTAAGTATGGGTTTATAAGATCTATTTATCTGTAATTGCAGTTTTACCAACACCAGACTCCTCTGACCAGCTCTATTAAGTCTCACAGACCTGACCACCACCTGCTCTAAGGCAAGATGTTCTCACACTTGCCAACATCTAGTCTTAGTAACACAGAACTGAGAAACACTCATTTATGAACTACCAGCAGCTGCCATTAATTTTAACACCAGCATCTAACTAGATTCAGGATACTGATACATGAAGTATTGTACATGCAGTGGAAGCGACAAACTCACTAGACTGCTTTTTTGTTTAGATTAAAACTAGTAAAATCATTAAGCTTTGATGCTTTACTCACTGTGCTTCTGGACAGTGATTGTAACTATCTCTCCCACTGAGAAGACTAGTACAGAGGCAATATATGCCAAAATCTAGTAACAATTAATTCTTGTACACATTTTGCTGCAGTTTAACAGAGAACAAGGCTAACAATAGCCTAGTGTTCTGAGCTGCTATGTTGAAGTCCAGCAATCATTTTTCAGTTGTCTTCAGTTCCACAGTTAAGAGCAAGATGAAAAAATAGTTCATGCCAAAGACAAAGGCATTTTAGAAGAAACAAAGTTATCTTACCTTACCTGTTCTTGTGGAACCAGTGTGGCATCACTATTACTATACTATCTACACTGTGATCCATTGTAATTTTAGTACCTAAGGTAGTATAACCATTTACTTTGCAGAGCACATCAGGTTTTATTATTAATCAAGTTTAGCCATTTACCAGTGTAAGCTAGAGCGGCCTACTTAGTCATACCATGCTAATTTCCCAAAATAACAGAACATTCTTATTATTGTCACCTTTACCTCTTCCTCCTGTATTCAAGATAACTTTAAAAAGCTTACTGACTTGACACAAAAATGGAGTTAAATTTTTATTTCACTCATAAAAGCACCCAGGACAATAAGGCCACAATTTTAATGATCTTTTTAGTGTCCCGGGTACCTGATAATAGAAAATCACAACTTCAAAGGTTATTTTGAACATATTGTGGCACAGCTATTGAATATCCTATACTCATGGCTCTCAAAGGTTTAATACTAGAGAAACACCTAGTTCAGTTGTTCTATTTCTACTGGAGCAGAGGCAACAAGTACTTTGAAAGTAGCAGCTTATAAACATGTTTCATCTGGTTGAGAGAGAGCGTGCTGAATGCAAAGTTATATAGTCAAATAATCTGAGGTTCCTGCAGGCAAAACATTATCCATGACTTACAACTTCTTTTGGGAGCCTAACTAAAGCACTCCCCTGATACCTGGATATTTTAATTAGCTTTTTCACAAGGCAGAAGTTCAGCAATACTTTCCTATTTCATTCTTGTAGTACTGTAAGTAGCAGTGAAACAGCTTTTGGGGGAAGAGTTGAAACCAGATTTTTGTGTACTGCATGTACCAGAAATAGCAGCCCCTAAAATTAAAGGGCCTGAACTGCTGCCAGCACTCCCCCCTGCTTCAGAGTTTAAGCTACATGAATAGGTGTATTACATAAGCTGTGTTCAACTTGCATACACTTTCCACTTTTCCAGGATTTCACATTCTTGAGACAAAATTACCATCTGGGAAAACAGAATCTATTTCAGGAAACAGATTGTCAGAGACAATTCAGTCTCAAACTAACACTTGAAGAGTTAGAAACAAAGCCTGTGGCCTTGCAGGCATCAAAGCAATAGGCATAGCTGTAATTACACGTAAGTATCCCTCAGTTTAAATAAAGTCAGAAGTTTAGACACAGGTTCAAAGTTTAGTGCAGAATTCAGATTGACTTTTTTCCTGATCATATTATTCCTCTACTATTACAAAGCTTCCACATCTTTAAGTGAAGGTTTAACCTATGCTAAGATAGCACTTCAGAGCCCCAAACAGGATTATTATTCTGTTCCACTGGGGGGAGGAAGAAGAGAAATGCTGATAAGAAACTGAGAATTCTTTTTAAAAATTTATTCCAGCAAGGCTAAAATACAAGGTAAAGTTCCTGGAAAGCCTATACTACACAGGGACAGATACTCACATCAAGCTCAAGTTGACTTTCCCCGAGAGAGAGAAGACATATCAAGAGGATAAAAACAGAGACCAATTGAAAAGAAATGAGAGCAAGGCACTGAAAAAACCACAAGTTTCTGTTAATCTGTGGTTCTACATACCTACCTTTTAGCTTAAAGGTCTGGAGCCTTATTTCCAGTCATCTACTCACCTGTAGCTTTAAAGGCATTATTTCAATAAATAAGTTTTTCCGCATGGAAATGTTTTAGCTGTCTAGGTTTCATCTGCCTCTTTCACGGCTGTGTGCGCTAACTGGCAGTTTGTTCTTTTTAACACACACTAAACTTTTTCCTCTTCCCTAAACAGTACTCTGTTCTTAAAGTACTACAGCCTAATTAGCTGTGGAAATTGGTGTTTCTGTTGTGCAGGAACTCGCAGCCCTTTTTGTAAGAGGGGAAAGAGATGAGACCCACCAGATCCTTAGAAGAGGGTTAGTGCAGCCTGCCTCAGCAATAGCAGCATCGCCACCTTCAGTGGTCCAGGATGCAAACAGGCTGAGAATTTCAACCTTACTACTACCAGAAATGATGGTGATGACATTAGTGTCCATCCTTCAGCTGACTGCTCCCATTCCCTCACTGAGGACCAGTGCTGAGGTTAAAAACAAGTGTGGAAGATTCTGTTTTTCTGTCCATCTACATTAGCATTCTGCTGTATCAATGAACCAATCTGATTCACCAGCTAGACAGGTGAGCATCAGAACAAGAAGGTTTATTCACTAATGGGGGAAAGAAAAGAAAAAGTGTTCCTTTCAGTCACAGTTTAGCCCTCTTGTCATATTTTTTCAGAATATTGATCTATTTGAAGTTTTATTAGTGAGGTAGCATAACTGTTAGGTTTTTTTTGGCATGGGAATAGTTTTTTGGAAGCAAATTGAGAGGTTAAACACCTGAAGGTTAACACTTCAAGATACAGTTGAATGCCAGCTGAAGAATTATTTTAAGTCAGTAACCTTCACTTACTGAGCTTCAAACACAAGTTAAAAGAAAAGTCACCTGCTCAGTCTGAAACACAGATCTAGCCCTTAAGACCAATCCCCAGCATACCGCTCAAAATCTGGAAATACACAGTGATTCAGTCCCTCAGGACAAATACAT